CTCTACATCCCCTGAAACTCCACTCATGACACCACACAAAAAATCAATACATTTAAAAACCTCATAAACACAGCCACAAGACTCTGTTCAACGGACTACATAAATGAAGAAATTAACCACTTAAAGCATTCCTTTATTCACACCAATAAATTCCCACAAGATATAGTTGGAAAGCTCTCCAACATTCCCCACAATAAAACTCAACTCACGAACAAAATTGACACTAACAAACCCAACAACAATACATTACACTGCAGTTTACCTTTTGTTCCTGAAACCAGCTCAAGAATTATCCACACTTGGACTAAACTAGCCAGTAAACACAATAATCCTGTCAACGTCAAATTCTCACAAAAACCTGGGCCAAAATTAAAATTGTTACTAAACAAAAATTATATAGAATCACACAATACCAACGTCATTTACAAAATAACATGCAATAACTGCCCAGAATTGTACATAGGAGAAACAGGAAGAAAATTGGAAACCAGATTGACAGAACACAATAAAAAACCGTCCCATGTTTTTCACCACGTGACAAGTCATGTGACTTCGTTGTTCAATACTGTATATATATATATGTATATATATATACATATGCGTGTCAGTGTAAATCACTTGTACCTGATAATGACAAAACCTTGTCGAAACGTTGTACATTTGCTGTTATGTTAAACTTATATTAAAGTTGTTCTTCATTACCCATTCAAGCCGTCTCCAACCATTATTAGTCTCAAAGTGGGTTCCAAGTCATCAAATTCTCTTTACCTTAATAGTTGGTCTTCAAGTCCTAAACAGGTGACAGTAAAATTAATAACAGTAACTTGGATGCAAACTTCAGGAAGGTAATGAGGATTGGCAAGCTTGGTGGTCATGTATAAGTAAAAGTTTTTATCATAGTCAATATCACTGTCCCCCAGTCGAATCAAAGTATGGCCTCCCTATCAAATACCACATTTATAAGAACACTGTATTACTAGTAGCATAAAAATATTATGAAATGGATGAGTGTCTGTAATATTATAAACTTAAATTCACAATAACGAATAGCTATATGCAAACAATCAAACAACGTATAACTGTAATTATGCATACATATAGCATACTTTTTTGGAAAAATGTTATGATCTATGTTTATTACTTATCACTCTATTTTATTATATATATATATATATATACATATATATCAGAAAACTGTACACCCTATTTAAACAAGTCCTGATAAAAGCAAATATATTATCTTATTTATTGATAATTAATAGTTGTGAAAAACTGATGCTTTAAAAACATCCAACACTAAATGCTCATTAGAAAAAAAATCTATCTTTGATGTATTGTAAAAAGTAATACTGTGACTAAATTTCATATAAAATAATATACAAGTTACATCTACATTTACTTGAAAATCATATCAACAAGTGTAGCTGAAGCTTCTGTATTTTAGTTCCAATTTACTTAAAAGTCAAATTACGTTTCAAACAAAAAGATACTTTGAAGTTACAAAGACTGTCTGAAAACTTACTCGTGTAAAAGTCTGTTTCAGAAGAATTGGTTCCAGGGAAGGATCTAAGGTTTCACCAACCTATATATAAGGTTAAGGTTAAAAAAAAATATTTATTGTCAGAACATTGATTTTTGAAATGTATTCTTAAACACATAAACATATTTACTCTTGAAAGTCTGTCAGGCATAAAAAAATTAAAATCATAATAAACTATATGCTGAATTTAAATTGAATGTTATTACACACACACACACATATATATACATATGTCTGCAAGCATATATAAATATATGTTTAAACAGATATTATAAGTCTTAAACTCCACAATGGACTAAAATCTATACACAAATACTGTAAATGCAGTTAAAAAAATACATTAGTAATGTGTTGTTTGCTGTATAATGATTTTCTTTTTGCATAAGTAGTTCTTTTAAGAGAACCATTCCTTACTTAATATACACTTTAGCAGATTAAAATATATAACCTTAGTGTTGTATTTTAAGTCATGGTTTCCCTCTATTATATTTTACTAATTAAAACTACGTTCACAAACAGAATTATTATTTACATTTTCATTCATTATTTTTGTTTTTCTTGTGTAACATTACTTCTCATAATAAGATAATTTAAAGTGCTTTACTCATATCAAAAACTTTTAAAACGATTATTTAAGACAATATGACAAAATACAATAATATTTAATGCAATAATTATGAGATTTTAAACACTAATTACTCTAAAACTATAATTCATTTATATTTCCAGACTGTATGTTGCCTAGTTATTAGCATTCAGGATTAAAAGATCAGTAAGGTCCAAGGTTTGAGTCATGATATACTACTAAATATACTCCACACTTTCAGTTATGGAAAAATTGTAACTGTTACAGTCAATTCTGCTAGTTAAGAGTAATCACACAAGCCACATATGAATGGTCTATGGTCAGCAGTTCAATGTTAGAGATGGCTATGCCTAAAGCTTATGATATCATATTTATTTATATTTACTACATTTACTAGTAGTGACAGTAAAATTAATAACAGTAGCTTTAATACAAACTTCAGGAAGGTAATGAGGATTGGTAAGCTTGGTGGTCATGTATAAGTAAAAGTTTTTATCATAGTTGACCTGCAGACATATATATATATCTGTGTGTGTAATAACATTCATCTTAAATTCAGCATATAGCTTACCATACCTCAATACATACACATGTTTGTATTGCATAAGGTGTCATTCAAGTTGAAAGGATAAAGTATGATTTTTATTTTAGATCCACATTAATGACTAATGTTTGAAACTGTGTGTGCTTTATAAACTAACTTAAAAATAGATATATTTATAAAATATGTTTTAAAACTATTACTACTTAACTGTTGCCACTTAAGTAAGTTTATTTAACCTGTTTTAATTTTAGATTGAATGTATTCATAAGTAAGTTAAACTTATCCTCACACCGAAACTAAATCATTACGTATATTGAAAGAAAATGGTAGAATCATTTATGATATGATTACTTACATATTCATTTGTAAGAAAAGTAAAATTTATTTGCAAACTTCTTTTTTTCTTATGATTTTTTTCTACTCTTTGTTTTTCAATAGTTTATGTGAATAGATAATTTTAACATGTCTAGACTTAACTTGTTAATTAAATAACGTGATTAGCTTGATCGATCTTAGGCTTAAAAAAATCTTAAAACTCAATCGTGTGCATTTCATTTAAACAATTTTGTGACAGACTATCATAATTAAAAAATAATAATAACAAAAAAAGTACTTAATCATACTTACTTCTTCTAAGAGTACTGGAATTCCAAAACGAATACAGTTTCTTAAGGTCTTCAAAAAATTTGAATCTGTTAGCTTGATAATTTTTAGGCCATTACATGCTTCTTTATTGCGAATCCATTGATTAGCCTATACAAATAATTTTTCAAATTACTAAATACTATAGATTTATGTGATTTCTGAATAAAAATTAAAATCATAGGATTTACTTTTAACTTGACAAGAAAGGCTTTCTTAACTTGATGCCACAAAATTCATTCATAATAAATTATTCATTTTCTCATTATGGTATTCACATGTGGTGTTTCAGTTAAGACTCAAAACAGGTGAAGTACAAAGTCACCTGATAACTTAGCATGTCACTGGTTGAATGTAAAAACAATACTTGGTGTAAAAACAACAAAAGATAAACACTTTGTTAGTCAACCAGGTTAACAAATACTGATCAAAAACTGTAATGATAAGCATTTTATTCAATAAAAAAAATATTACACTTGAAAACTGAAACTTAGAATGGTTAAATTACTTTAAAGACACAGCAATAGCCCACCATTAGCGTTAAATACAAAGTAAAATGTGGACAAGCCAAATGCTACGGTCAGTGTGCCTTGGCTCTTTCAGAATTGAATGAGATCTCTTTAAAACTGTTAAAATCATCTTCACAGTTCAAGTTCTTTCTCTATAGCCGACCAATCATGTGAAGAAATTCTGATACTTAGTTGATGTAATTTCCTATCTCATGTGACAACCATAAACTAGCCTCACCCACAAAGTAATTTTTGGCTACAAAAACAACCCTAAAACTATAACAAAGTGTAATATTTATATTTGTATTAGTGATATCTGCATATCAAAAACATGTGGCTACTACATTATTGTATAAGAAAACTTTGTAAATTTAGACCCTTTTGTTTTTTAATCACAGAAATATTCTTCAATAATGGCATGTATAGAAAATTAATGTTTAAAAATCTACTCAAGTTAACACTGCCATGTCGGGAAACGTTTAAAATAAAAGGATTAAACTATCTATTTCTTATGAGTCAAAGAAAGGTTCAGTAATTGGTTATTTTTTTTAGATCTAATCACATCATCCACAAGAAAGTAATACTGGAAATATTATTTTCTAAGATAACAATGGCAGTAATTCATTTAATATAAGATTGAGCAATGGGTACAAAACTAATACGATGAAAAAAAAAATATTGTAGCATAAATATTACAGAAGTTAATCTTAAAACAACATAAATGTGTATAATAATTTTTGTTGAATTGATGTTCAAAATTAGACAACTTGATCTAATTATTCAATTACTGTTTGTTTGTTGTAAGTACAAAGCTACAAAATGGGCTATCTGCACTCTGCCCATCGCAGGTATCAAAATGTTTAGCATTATAAGCCCTCAGACTTACCACTGAGCCATTGGGGCTACTCAATTATAAGTACACTTTTTCTTTTCTTAAAATGTCCCTCAAAATTATCCCTGACTTTCACAATTTCCAATAAAAGAGGAAGATTTTTTGGTACATGTATTACCATTCAATTTATATTATTTTATAAGTTTGTATGTAGACAAAACTCCAGAAATAGATAATCATAACTACTGATAAGCTTGCCTGATCTTGTGGATCAATCATGAGTGGCCAGCGGCAACCTCTTGTGACAAGAATAGCATTTTCTGTAGAAAGATTATCTCTTGGTAAACCTTCTGTATTCCACTTCTCTATTTCATAACTATCTGACAAGGCACTGACCAAAGAAAAGTCTACAGACACAGGAATTTCTAGATCCTTACAGCGGCTTATCCATTGGTTTAAGAGCTTTATACAAAAAAAGGTATAGTTATATTAATAGGGTTGCATTTGTACTGGACTGCTCCTGCTTCGTTTCTTCAACATCAACATTTCATTCTCTATGTTGATGTTTTCTTCAGATTTTGAAGAAGGCCTCAACATAGTCAGAAATGTTATCTTGTTCAAAAAACAAGGTATGAGCACTCCATTGAAAATGCCTAAAATATCATGAAAACAAGATATTTTTATAATTTTTTGCACCCATCTCTAAGAAAGTTTGTTGTAAAACCATCTAACTTTCAACCATAAAAATATAAGATCAAATATTCTTACTACGAAAACAGTTAAAAAAAATCAAAATAGCAGAACCAAGTAAACAATATCACTCCTCAAAAACCATTTATTATGACTTTTACACCAGTTTTTTAAAAGAACTAAAGCTTTCTGCAACTATTGTAGTTAGATCAGAATATTTAGTATTAACACATATTCCATTATAATAATGAGGCAGCATCAGCACTATGACAAAGATGAAAAAGAATAAAGGTGTCAGTAACTTCAAAAGTAGTTTAAGATAACATCACACAGAAAGTCACAGAAAAATCTTTTCCCGTGAATACAAGAATGGTCGATAGTGATGAAAGGAAAATACATATGTTTGTAATGAACATTTAGTCCTCCTTCAAATAAAAAAGATAAAGACCAAATATTCCAATATTTGTTTTATGTCTGTAAACCATATGCACACACAGAGCTAAGAATAATAATTATACCTCTTTTCTGTACTGACTTGTGAATGCACCATAATAAACTACACATGCTGTAGCAATAAAGACATTCCCAACTGCATTTGTTATTTCTTCGTTGAATTTCTAGAGAAACACAAAAAATTATATTCAAAATTTTAATTACCTATTATAATGTATTGATTTTATAAGTGAAACTAAAACCATTATTTTCAGTTGCATAATATACCACTTATATCTTTTGATTAAAATTTAAGCACGTTATTAATGCCATTTGTTATACTTGAATACTTCTAATGCGAAGTATGACGTTACAATTTATCAAATGTGTACAATGACTATAAATGACATTTTGGTACCGATTAACCTTTATTTTATACTTCAAAGTTATCTTCTACTTGAATAGATAGTTTTTTTAAGAATCTTTGAGTAACTGGCAGGTTTACTATTTATAGCTTTTCTCTGAAGTCTATAATTCATTAATCTATTTTTATGTTCAAAAACATTATTTTTTAAACATTATATAGAGTATTTTTGTTAACAATAAACCAAGATCAGGTACTTCTATCTTTTTAATGATATTCCATTGACACAATATATCAGTAATTTTGTTGGCTAAATCAAATATCAAATAATACATAAGTTCTAGGGCTTGAAAAATATTATTACTGCATTAGCAAATGAGCTACAAGTCATAATACAACGAAGTAAGCTGACATATTGTTATAGGACTTCCTTTATTTTTAAAATGTTCTAAACAACTAAAAAGTAAGCATCTACTAGCTGTTCTTATTTAAGAAACCACAAGATGAAGTAAAAAAAATCTATTTCACAAATAAACAATATGAGATCATCAAAAATATCTGACAAAAACATTCTTTGCGATTTGTTCCGAAAGCTATGTTTTAGCTAATTTAGAGAAAAATAAAATAAAAAGTGCAGGATAAATGTCCTAAAAATACTTAAAGTTACCAAATAAAAACTTTCTATGTCGTATATGCTTCTATCCAACTTTTAATGAAAAAAAATTCCTACAGGGGGTTAAGGTAAAAAAGAAACTGATTGCAGCCTAATATATCCAATCCACAGAAGACTGATAATACAGTACTTATAATTAGAATTTTGAGGTAAAATTTATGTATTCTATAACATATAGAGAAAACCCACATGAGTCATTTGCTTATAAATGATAAAATCTGAAATATTGTTCAGAAGATGTGGTTTTAATTATAATGTAATCAATATGTGTAAATTGCTTCTCTTCTTATAAAAGTTTTTTTTTAAAACAGATTCCACAAAAGAAAAAACAGCTTTGGAAAATAGTTGAGACGACGTGTTAATGTGATAATGATCTCAAGGTTGGACACCAATGGCAATTCTGATCAATCCTGATTTCAAATTGGGTTGAGAAATGTTTTTTACAGCAAACATATTATAATTTATGTGACTATTTTATATGTTTTTCATCTTAATGACTTGGTATATTTTTTGAATAAATATGTATTTAACTAGTACAAATAGTTCAGTAAATTAGTATATCCCAAAAATACCCAATAGTTTTGTGTGGGTGGAAAAAATGTTAAAACAGTTTTAATTTACAACATTTCAGATTTGACACAAACTTGCAAAAAATAGTTTAAAAGTAATACAAACACCATGATTTGTTTTTAAATATATATTTTCACTGTAACTATCATTATTAAAGCAGTTTATGTTATTATTATAAGACACACACAATAGTCTACATTATTGCTTAAATGATTGAAATTTCGACCCATAAAAAATGTGAGAGTAATATACATAACATAAAGACAACAGGTAGCCTTAACTTAGGTTTATATTATAGAACATAGGCTCAATACTAACACTGTGTGTGTGTATTTAACATTTAACTTTTTGGTCCATCTAGGCTGTATCGTCCACTAAACTAAACTATTAAAATAAAAACTCAAAGCCAGCTCTTATCATTCAAATATTTATTAAACTTTCTTTTAAAGTCCCTTAAATTTACTACTTCCACCACATCCCACACATCCAAAATATATTTTTGTGTCCCTAGTCTTATCATTCTCATCATTAAATTATGAAAAAAAGTTGATGTATCAACAGTACCAATTCCTTTAACAATCTTAAACACTCAATAAGACCCCCCCCCTCTAACTCTTCTTTATTTCTGAGAAAACAACTTCAGAGGTCCTGTATGACAACTTTTCTGTCCCAGATATCATCCTTGAAGCCCTCCTTTGAATCCTTTCCTATAATTCAATGTTCTTTTGAAGATAAGGAGCCCAAGAAAATACTCCAAATGTGGTCTAACCAGTAACATATACAATGAAATTAAAACCTCTTTGGATTTGTATTCAGTATTTCCCTAGATGCAACCTAAAATCCTATTTGCCTTACCATTAGCAGTGGCACACTGATTGGATGATGTAAGAAACTGATCCACCAGAACATCATGATCCTTTTCTTCCATAACACTGTTAACGTTATTCGCATCAAAATTATACTTACAATTCAAATTACAATAACCCACATGCATTACCTTGCATTTACAATAATTAAAAGCCATCTGCTAGTTATTTGCCAAACTCACCATATGTTCTAATTCCTTTTGTAAAGCAGCAGCATCCTCACAGCCATTAACACCCAAGACCTTAATATCATCCTCAAATGTAACTCACCATATGTTCTAATTCCTTTTGTAAAGCATCAGCATCCTCACAGCCATTAACACCCAAGACCTTAATATCATCCTCAAATGTAACTCACCATATGTTCTAATTCCTTTTGTAAAGCAGCAGCATCCTCACAGCCATTAACACCCAAGACCTTAATATCATCCTCAAATGTACTATGTACATTATTTACATTTGTATTTTTTTGGCATATGCACTGTTGCTCCACACTTTTACCTAAATGACTCAAGTTTAAGACACATAAAAATATATATACATACAAACTATAAGACAGTATGACTCATGAGTTACATTTGTTAAGTACACCATTTTTTACCTAAAAACATTTATGTAAAACCTTTAATATGTAAAATTAAAATAGATATATGAAATAGAACTTGACTCACTTCAACAGAATATATCCAATGATCTTGCTTATCAGCTAAAGCTGAGGTAATGTGAGAGGCTCTTTTGAGCCTAGCAGCAGTCTGGGCAATGTTGTTTTCTAGCCTCTGCTTATCATCCACACTTTTCTGGTATTGAGACTGAAGCTTATCAATCTGAGTCTCTACTTCTTTCAGTCTGTCCTGTTTCTGCTTCAACACTGACATTACCTCCTCTAACTCTGCTTCAGCTGAAGCCAAACTGTATATAAAAAAATACACATTAAAATGATTCAGTTTTATACAGATGAGAAGAAAAACTGATAAAATATATAAGGAAATTTAGAAAAAATCATTTTATGTAATTCAAGTGATAAAAAATTAAATGTATTTAAACAAAATATATTTTAATTATATGCATAGCTGTGATAGAAACAGTTAAAGTCTGTGTGAAGCAATAATATAGTAGCTAAATGTTTGTCCCAATAAAAAATGAGTACCATAACTGAAATATTTATAGGCATCAAGCCTGTAGCCAGGGCTGGAAGTTGGGGGTTCTTTTCGGTCCAAAGTGGAACTCATTTCAAGTGTAACTTTAGTTCCCAGGACAAAAAATTTTTTTTCTGGAATATGTAATGGTTCCTTTATTATCACTGCAAGTGAACATTGCTAGTAAATTTTTTCCGATAAGTATGAAAATGCTATTTCTGCATGTATTTAACAGTTCATAATGGACAATTCCTTGAATATCTCACCATACACTCAACATAATCTTCCTTGGATGCAAGTCCCCTTTCGGCTGTGGCCTCTAATTATGTAATTGTTTTTGTAACACTGTGTACCAATAAGCAGACAATTACAGCAGAGGTTTACTGCTAACAACTACAGTGTTTGAAAACAGCTTTGAACATAAAACGCCCATCCTTAGCAAATGATAATGCATGTCCCCATACCACCACGAGTAACCAAGGATCACCTAGAGGAACTTGGCTGGATAAAAATTGCTTCACTCACCATATTCTCCCGACCTTGCTCCTTCTGACTATCATTTGTTTAGGAGTTTACAAAATCATTTGGATGGACTTAGACTAACTTCAAGTAAGAAGGTCGAAAATGAGTTAATCTCTTATTTTGGGTCAAAATCTAAGGAATTTTATAAACATGGCATCCAAAAACTTGTTGATAGATGGAACAAGGTTATCGAAAGCAATGGAGAATATATTGATGATTAAATACATCTATAATCATTACTATTTTGTTTGTCTAAATTCATTTGAAAATCGGACAGAACTTTTGTTACAACCTGATAAAAGTTGTGGTGAAATGGCATGTATCAGAACTACACTTTGACATTGTTTAGTAGTTCATAGGTAGTGTGATCCCACCAAAGATTGATCACTTTTGGGAATGATATGTAACAACAATTCCAGATGCAAGATATTCATACACTCAGATCATAAAGATGTTGAAATTAGAGATCTTAGAATTTCTAAAATGGAAATATCCCTTCTCCTTAATAGCATTGGAAAACAAAGGAATATGTATCAACTTGAGGCACCAGTACTATACAAGACGAGACCTACAACCAGTGATATCCCAGTCAAGGTAAGTTAAGTGTGGCATTTTGTAACAGATGAGAATCCCAAACAAAAACAAAAAGTTCAGCAGCAAAATTCTCCATGTGTCCTAACAGTACACAGCATAATCAAGAAGGATTTCCATCTGTAAAAGCAATATAAGTCATGTGTACACAAGATTCTCCCACAACATATTTGTTCAACTGTTACATATCTCAAGCAACTGGAGACAATGTGCGTAATCATGTTATCCATACAAGAAATATTGACCAAGTCACCAGATACAGCACTTATGGTATTCTGCACTGTTGGAAATTTGAAACAGGTGCTTAGAAACTAATGTTCTTGTACATTAGATGGACTATAGAAAGCCTGCAGATGGTTCTACTATGCTTTAGACGTGAGTTTTATAACAGAGCCTTTTGCAATGAAAACCATGCTGAAAGGTTATTTTAAAAATGCAGATCATCAGATATAGCATGACTGGATGTGGTGAGGCTCCAATATCATTTTAATGTATAATGTACACAACCACTGTATTTGTGTAATAAAAATAAGCAAGGAAATTATAACAGAACAGTTTATTTCTTTGACTGAATGTTGTAGCAGAAATATCTAGTCAAGCTATGATCTATAAGACTATATTACAGTTTATCTTGAGTTAATTCATTTTTGTTTTAAAGACTAACTAATAAATGCTAAATAAAGATAAGCTTATTGTCTGAAACTTTTGTAACTAAATGGAAAGTATTCTGTAGACTATTAACCAGATATTTTTTACGTGTATCTGAATATTTTGTTAATCTTATAGTGTCAAACAATATGAAAACAGAGATTATATACAAATACTGCAATGATGTGCAGATGTTTATAGTAGAACATTACTTATTAACAAACAATTAATATTACATGCTACTACTGAACTGTGGTCATTTGTAAGAACTGGTACAAAATATATATAAGAGATACCACTTAATTTTTCTTACATACTTTTATTACCTTTTTTTTTTTCACTCTGAAGATTTTTGACAAAAAATAATGAATGATCAACATCCAATGAAAATTTTAAGTAATAAATAAAACCAAAGTAGAGTAGTTTTTTCTCAAACTAATTTCAAATTAGTACATAAATTTATCTAAATATAAAAATATTTAAATTTCTTCTCAGATATAAAGTTTTACAGCTAGAAAAAATAATTTGATCAATGAGATTCATTTAAGAATTTTTTAAGTATTTGTAAGCTTTGATGAAGATGAAGAAAAATACACCTAACATGTACGTACCGTTCTCGTTGGGGCTGCACAGTCTTAAATACCTTTGCATAGAGGTCCATAGCTCTCACCCACATACACAGCGATTTGCAGGCCTACAAAAAATAAGCACTTTTTTAAAGTTTTATATAATTATAAAGATTTTGAAGGTAATACTAAAAGTATTAGAAAAATGTGTTTTTACAAACTTTCTTTTGAGTTTACTTGGAAACTACTAAAGGGGTAAGTTTTTCTTTTGTTCTAAAACTAACTGATGGTGTGAGTTAGTTTTCAGTAGATGTCTGTTTCTAGGTATAATTTTGTCTAGTCAGCCAAGAAAAGAAGTGACCAATATGAACAGTGAACTGGATATTTGAGTTCATGGCGTTTAAGTGTTCTAAAAAGACTCAACAGTCTGGATACATATCTTTGTCTTTATCAGTAACCTCATCTGAATATTTCTAGAATAAAACATATTCTAGGTAGAATATGTTACCTTTTGTGTGTATTGTTAGAGATCAAAACTCACTTCGTTATGTTCCACAGAACTATCAATCTGTTTAATACATTGTCTCTCTAAAGCTTCAGCTTAGTTTTGATAAACAAAATGCCAATCTCCTTTCATTTTGTTCTTTTAGAAGTGCTTTATAACTCTCAAGGACTACATTTCTATATTCTTCACAGAACCAACTCTATTATATACAAAATTGCTCACACTAATCAAGCCCCTACTTTCACCATACTATTACAATGAATTGAATGATTAGAAAAACAGACCTCATCCTTCTTAACAATCTTTATATTCAACCTACAGTCACCCCAAAAAAGTTCTGACTACATTTAATTCAACCAATCCCAATTAAAGTCATTCATCAATACCATTTTCTGATACACAGTCCTCTGCTCTTAAAACTCTCCAACAATTTACTAATGCACCTGCTCCTTGGCACAAATACTTGCAAAAGTATATTTATTCTTGTGATATACATAAATTTCCCAACACTGTCAAGCATTACAAAGTGAAGATAACAAAAACTGAAATTTCAAAGAATGGTATTGCAGAAACTGTAAAAAAAAAAGTTCTATATATATTCTACAGCACTATTCACTCTTTATAAAACAATTTATACACATATTTAAAAATGTACTTTAAAATGATTTTTTATGACAATTTGAATTATTATTTTTACCTTAGATGTTCTTTCAATAATTTCTGGTACAAACTTAGGGTCATCAATATATTTTTTCAATTTCCTTGTAGTGGTCTCTGAGATATTATCTTTATCATATTCATATAGTCGTCTCAGAAAAGTTGGTTCACCCAGCAACTGTGTAGCTGAGGTCCAATCAGTCCTATTAGTTTCAAAAATTGAACAAAAAAGTGTTAAATTATTATGGGACATAATGCCTTTTACACTCACATAAGTGATAACATGCTCAGTTGAACTATCATAGAAGTCAGATAAAGCTAAATAACCCTCTTGAAAGTGGAGTAGACTTGTTTAAACATTTGTTTAACAACAAGTTGAATAGACTTGGACACTACCACCAATGAAAAGTATTCATATAAGTTAATTGATTAAAGTCCCAATGAAGGAAACCTTATATGAGTGGATAGCACACCAGCCTTTTTATCAAGCAGACTTAGGATCCAATCCCAGCCACTACCACTACAGAAAAGTTCTCCTCCAGACTTTCCTGAAGACAACAACAGATTAACAGCTGGAAGGTAGAATAATAACTAGCTAGTAATAAGTACCCAGTAATTAACCCTCCTATTAAATTCAGAATTTAAGTATATCTCTTATGTTTTGGAATATATTGCAATGCAAATTCAAAAAAAATGAAAGAGCCTTGAACTGCTGAAACATTTTTCTTTGCATAGCTTTCACTATTTTATGTTAAATATTATACATTAATGTAAATTCTCATTATAATAAACTCAAAGATATATTTAATTGCATCATAGCATTATGGAGACTAGTGGTGGGTCAGAAAAACCTAAAACATAATAGGAAGGTTAATAAAAACAAATTTGTGATTAATGATTAGACCTGTGAATGTATAGGCTACTAATGATGACAAAAAATATCAGTTCTATTGTGATGTAATTTCACACAACACCAATCAAAAAGCATCAAAGTTATCATAAAGAAGGTAAGTAAATTTTTCATATCTTCAGAATCAAATCAAGTTTATTCTATATATCAAAACTAAGTATCTAATAAGGTAACATAAGAAATGCATATCATATCCATTATTAGGATATGTATTGAAATATTAATTTTTTATACAACATACAGTTTACATTTTATATGATATACTTAAAAATATTTGTATTTAAAACCAATAAACTATCAAATCCAAAACAATAAGCAGTTTGGAATATTATAGTACGATCTTCAGCTTACTATACATAAGTGGTGGAAGTTATCTTTGTTAGTGTGAGTAATTAACAAGTATTCTATATACTGTATATACAAAATAATTAAATAGAATATAAACAGGACTGAAAGAGGACTAGATAATTCAACAACTTTATTTGTTAAAATATTTTTTGCTAAGTTTCTATAAACAGAACAGAGGTTTTCCATGCACTCATAAGTGTAAAAGTTTACACTTGAATGGGTAATAAAGAAAACTTTATAATAAATGTACAAAGTTTGACAAGATTATGTCATCATCAGGTACAAATAGTTTACGAAGACAAATGAATATATATACAGTATGAAACGAAGAGGTCACATGACTGGAGATTGCTTAACAACTGTTAGTTCTATACTCTATATATATATATTCATGTGTCTCCGTAGACTACTTGTACCTGATGATGACACAATCTTGTCAAAACATTGTATATTTATCATAAAGTTTTTTCATTACCCATTCAAGCCATTTCCAAACTTATATTTTCTAAAAAGTGGGTTCTTCGTCATCAAATTTAAACTCATAAATGTAATTGGGTGTGAAAATGGAAAAAAACCTAAAAAGAAAGTTTATATAAGTATTATAGTAATGATGAACCATAAATTTACATACAAAGTTTAATGTATAATACTAGTAATTTTATTTCAGTTATTTGCTTAATTATTACAGAGCAATAGTTAAAATACAAACAGCAACCTTAAATCCAAAGTTACACTATGAAAATTTACCTAGCACAAAATATTCATAATAATTTTCCTGAACCTATTTCTAACAGTTAGGAAAACAGAGTAAAATTGTCAAGTGAATTTTTTGTTGAAGACCATTATTAATTTTTTTATTAAGACGTTTTATCTTGCACATGTTTATAATTAACCTATCTTTCTGAATAATGTTTTGTAGATTAAAGTATATATAAAAGTTATTTGCAGATACTGACAAAAAATATAAGTTTGCCTACATGTAATAGCAACTGAAATATAACTAATTTGAAATTACTTTGTAGGAGAACTTCTAAGGACATCATATACACTTGAAAACACAGCCACCTACTTTGTGTTCATAAGAATACATACAGCTTCCATCACTGTCTGCACCATCTCTGGAGGCTTGGTAAAAACTCTAACCTCTGATATATCAGTGTTATCTAATGCATCAAGAGCTTTCATAGCTGCTTCTAGTGCCGGTAAAGCTTCATCAAGATCTCTTTGTACATCGGCTTTAATCAGAGCAGTTTCCTCAGCTTTAGTCTTAGAAATTCCTTTCTCCTTCTTGACAACTTCTCGGACCTACAATAAAGATGTAAACCTAATACTGAATTGCAGCTTAATGTTTATATAAATTCACTTGTAGGATCTATTCTTTGTTTATTTTAGTTCAATTGTATGCTAGAAGTACTTTAATTAAAAATGTGACAAAAATAATCAAACTTATTATTTCAAAGACTTCCCTTTACTCTTAAAATATAAATGATGCTGCTTTCAGTCTTGTAAATATATGTCATTGACATGTCCTTTGACAAATGATACTTATTAGGTCAAAACAGACCTATTTATGATTATTCAATTTCTGTAGTGCATACTAGTGTATAAAAGACATTTTAACATTTTAATACTAGAAATAAATGACATTATAACATGGTTTGTGTTTTAGTGGAATGCTCTTGATGAAGCTGTAAAGCGAAACCTTGAGTGTCCAATTAAAGAAAAATAACTAAGTCACTTATTTCTAGTATTAAGACCTTATTTCTGAACTCTTCCCTCTGACGATATGGATTCTTAAAACTATATATATATATGTATATAATTTCTTTTTTAAGAACATTGTGTTATATTATGTAGGTGGACAAAAGGAGACAAGAGATAATTTTTGACACAATGAAACATAAAGTTTTATTAGTTACTTAGAGCCAATTAATTTTCATAACACATTTACCATTTATAAGAACTTATGAGTGAATCTAAAGAAGAATGTAATAATAATATGCCAACCACACTATATCTGCTACATCTCATATGGAAAAGGCTTTTTGGTTCAGCTGGGATAAGACAGACATAAATGTAGTTGAGACGTCATTTTTATTTGAAAATAAGCACAGTCTTGATGATGGTAAATACGTTAGAAAAATTAGTCACACTTAAGTAACTAATAAAAACTTTATGTTTCATTGTGTCAAATATTGTTTTCCCTTTTATTTGTCTATACACACACACACACACAGATATATATATATATATATATATATAATAAACAAAACCAA